TTGACGGAGAAAAGATGGCCGAGCAAGGATGTCCTCCGCATTTGCGGGGGAAAATAAGACGAGCTAGTGCTTGGCGAACGGTGCTACATGTATTTTCAACCGGCATTGTATACCGCGGGTCGGAAGCTTTACGCGATTGGGGCCACGGCCTTGCTGCTGGCTCGGTTCGTGTATGGTGAATGCGGGTAAGTATGTGCGTTGGATGAGATGAGAGTAGTCACGTGCCGCGTGGTTCTAGCGCGTTTTCCACGCTCCACCGCCACCCGGTTTAGGGCAGCGTGGATGTCATCCCGTCAATTGCAACACACGCAGCAGCTGGCCATGGACGCATTGCTGCATGGTCTAAACGATGCGCAGAAAAGTGCAGTCACCAGCCCTGCAAACGTCGTGCAGGTGCTTGCTCCTCCAGGCTCGGGCAAGACGAAGACACTCACTGCGCGTGTCGCGTACCACATTAACCACGAACGACTGCAGCCATGGAACATCATCGTATGCACCTTCACTATCAAGGCCGCCCGGGAGATGAAGGAGAGGATCCGAGGCTTCGTTGGCGATAAACTGGAGGCCAAGCTGATATTGGGCACCTTCCACTCAGTTGCCCGTCGCTTTCTGTTCCGCTATGGCCAAGAGATTGGAATTGACAAGAACTTTGGCATTGCCGATACCAGTGACAGCTCCGCCATTCTCAAACGCATCGTCACGCGTTACCAATATACCATAGAGCCTGGCCATGCCCGTTCGAGGATTTCGAAGCTCAAGGCCCAGGGCGTTACAGCAGATGCTTTTGCCGCGACTGCTAAGAATGCAAACGACAACGAATTTGCCATGATCTACTCGTCTTATCAGGAGCACCTGGCCGCATCCAACTTGCTCGACTACGATGATCTCTTAATACGCTGTGTCGATCTGCTAAAGAAGTCGCCCTCGTGCGTTTCAACGATACAGGCTGTGCTCATTGATGAATACCAGGATACCAACAACATCCAGTATGAATTAATGAGCTTGTTGGCCCAAAAGACTCGGCGCATCACAATCGTGGGCGATCCAGACCAGAGTATTTACAGCTTTCGATCTGCCGAAATCAAGAACCTGCTCCGGATGCGCACTGATTATCCGGAATCTGTCGTCATCAACCTGGAGAACAACTACCGCTCATCCGGCTACATTCTGAATTCGGCCATGGCTGTGATTGAACAGGATGAGAGCCGACCACAGAAATCACTGATTGCCACGCATGGTGCTGGTGAGCAGCCCACTCTTCGCCATCTGGTATCGGCGAATGTCGAGGCAAAATGGATCGTTGAAGAGATATGCAGAACGAGAACACTTAGTGCTGGGCTGCTGGATTTCGGTGACTATGCCATACTAGTGCGCTCATCACCACTCACTCTCCAGATTGAAAGAGCACTCGGACAGGCTGGGGTTCCCTATCGTATGGTGGCTGGTACCAAATTTTTCGATCGAGCCGAGATCAAGATACTACTGGATTACCTGCGAGTTGTCAGTCAGCCAGAGCATAATGATGCCGTGGCGCGCGTGATTAATGTACCTTCTCGGAAAGTTGGCGATGTCACCGTCAAAGCGCTACTCGAGGAAGCAGAGATGAGCAAGATTACACTTTGGAAGCTTGTTCTCGACATTGCTCAAGGAAAAAGAAGACCAAAAAGCAAAGTGTCTACACAAGCACAAAAGGGTATTGAGCAGTTTGTCAACGTTATTTTGAGTTCTCGAGAAAAGCTTATTCCTGCCAAAGATGACGTGTGCGACCTCTTCGGGCTCATAACTCACATCTCCAACAAGATATCGTTTCTGTCATATCTTAAACAGACTCACAAGGAAAACTGGCAAGACCGATGGGCGAATGTTGAGGAGCTTGTCAATCAGGCGACACAAATGGCCACTGCTGTTGCCAACGGAGAAGAGATATCGGACGATGCACTGCCTGTAGCAGAAGGCATAGAACAGCGAGCCGACAGTGCCGCCGATATCCTTTCGAAATTCCTCGCCAATGTCACGTTGTCAAGCGCGGCGGATCAAGAGGGCACAGAGCAAAACCAGGTCACTATTTCCACTATCCATGCAGCAAAAGGTCTCGAGTGGCCCGTAGTCTTCATGCCCGCCATATACGATGGTTCCATTCCTCACTCGAGAGCAGACGACCAAGATGAGGAACGAAGGTTGCTGTATGTTGGTATGACGCGTGCCCAAGCGTTGCTTTACCTCAGTTGCCCTATGAAGCAATCAGGACAAGAGCAAACAACTCTTTCACGATTCATTTCGGACCGCAAAGTGCAGAAATTTTTCAGCGAGCGAGGACCAGATCTGGCCTTCAAGCGAAGTATTATCACCGACCTAGCACGGATTCTGCGAAGGGATTGCCCTTCGGCCGCAAATCTCGATCGTGCTCGTGATTCAATGGAGCGACCGGAAGATGACAAATACCCAGCGACACGGGACGAGATTCATGGCAACGATCTAACATGGGGAGCACCGTGGGACGAGAAGCGCACAAGTTCCAAGCCAGGTAGGGACGGGCCGGATCAAGATCTGAAGCGACGGAGGATCGATGGCCTGGGCTCTTACTCTAGAGAAAGCGTATCAGTCACGATGAACCGCCCATCTAGTTACTCCACCTCCATGACCACAATGCAGAAAATTAATGCAGGATTCACAAGCGCCCGGGATCTGGGCGATCTGCAAGCGATGCAAAGAGAGGCAGAGCGTATACGTACACTAGCCAGTACTCAAGGCACACAGAGCAGCAAGGCAGAAGCCAAGGTAGTCCGGGCAAAACCTACCAAACCGCGTGCAACAGGCCAAGGTGCCATCACATCATTCTTCAAACGATCAAATAGCGCAATGTCCGAGCAATCAGAACACGAATCCTCCACACCAGGCCCAAGCCTACAACGCTCGCAATCATGCTTAACAAGCAACACGCCACTGCATGACATTTCTAACGTACAGTCTTCGACGCCGCGTCCCTTTCGACCACTGTCGATACCAGAGCACAAAGTAACGAGCCAACGCATTCTCAACAAACCGAAGAGGAGTGAGCCTGAGAGCGAGACACAGAACACGCGATATGTGCTTCTATCCAGCTCGCCCACGAAACCTGATCCAGTGGACCTGGGTCAAAATGCAGAAGCAATAGATGAGCCACAGAGTCCTATGAAGAAAACGGCGGCGTTTAGTTCAGGGTCAGGCTTTCGTTCAGCATCGACATTGCACACAACGTCAATAAGCCAGGCACAAAATGGGGCGGCGCAAAGGAGAACATTGGGTGCCAGAAGGACCATGCAACCGTGGAGCGTAAAGCACAGTTCCATGCCTAAGCCACGTCCTTCATGAGAAGTATATATGTTAGAACTATCCCAGCAGTGTGGAAGCGGGTACATTGCATTACTCGGCGTTGGAATGCTGAAGTAGGTACGACCAAGTACATCATCGCATTGCATTGACATAGTTCCTATTCCTACTCATCTACTTCATGTATCATTCATATCCTGTACTCAACTAGCAGTCGGAATCTCATCTATAGCACGGCAAAAGCACTGCAGTACGACACACTACTGTCCTGGAGGTCCTCGACAAGGCTGCTCCTTTCATACCTCAAGAAGCTGAATATGCCTTTTCCTTCTTCAAGCGCTTCAGCGCTTTCCACAGCAGCCATGAACAAGCCAATAGGATGTCTTCCACACACAGTGTTGCCCGTTTTCCTAAGCTGGTCAAGGAACTTCCTATGTGAGCCAGTCTCGATGGCATCCATGCTCTCGTGGTCAACAGCAGCAATGCTCTCATGAATGGGGTAATCACTTGGTACCCGCGAAGCTGACTTTAGCTGAGTTGCAGCTCCGCCATTGGGGGGCTGATAGTATGTGTAGCGAAAGCGAGAGCCCCAGTGACAGAAGTCGGACGAAATGACGAAGATGTTTGCGGGATCAGCAAGATAAGGGGCAAGAAGGGAACCGTACCGAGCCTCTGCAGCGGCATCGGTGTTGCCAACCATGATGGGGACCAAAGGGACCGAGGACGGGTCGCTTTGAAAGTCCTTGTTCTTGAGTGACAGCATCTTGTAGATGTAGGGCAGGTGCATTTCCAGGCTGTGCTCGTCTTCGTCTGTTCTCTTTGACATGATCTCCAAGTCCCACTCCTCCTGAATTGTCTGGACGAGGGTTGTGTCTACGATCAGGTCACCCAGCGGGGTGTGATACTTGTCGCAGCCCGTAGTCGCAGCACCGGTTAGGTAGTAGTGGTGTGAGGGCCCGAGCAGGAAGACGCGTTTTCTACGAGCAATCAGCGCAGATGGTCGACACAAAGGTCATGTCTTGGTGGCGCACGCATTGGCCCAATCGGCGCTCTTATAAGCCCATGCAGCAGCAGGCCCAGAGTATGAGTATCCGGCGTGTCTGCATGTTCATGAGCTCTGGCTTGCTAATGTAGCTATTGGACGGTGCGTACGGAGCAATGATGGCCCGGGCATTGGGTGTTGGTATCGATACTTGGCCCTTTTGCGACGAGGCCGAGCCGATGGGTGTCGTCGAAGCGGGCACAGCTCCAAGCCAGCCGTCGAGTTGCTGTGAGAGAAGTTGGCCATTGTCTGTATACCAGGAGCCCGCGTGGGAGGCTTTGCGAGTAACCATGGTTGTTCGTAGGAGGGTGCACTCTGTGAGAGGCTGTAGTTGTTGTTATGGTGGTAGTGGTGGGGTAGTGGTGGTGATGAGCAGCGATGCGGGGCATGGGTCGGAATGTAGAGACTTGATCACCATCGACGTAGTAATGCCATTTCCCCTCGACCCCCGGCCACCAAGAAGATGCAAGTGAAAACGTTTTTTTAACCTATTCATTGCTTCTCTAACAAATTAGTGTACTTTACATACTACGATGCCGAGACAATGAGCGTGTTGAAATAGTTGCACCGGGCAATTAATATAGTTCCTATTTAGGACGCGACGCGATCGCGACACGCCAGTCGCGTTCCCTGGCCAGTACCTTGCATCATCATTATTATTATCACCATCCCCAACATCAACATCAACATCGGCCTTGTGCAAGTTGCTTATTCCCGCCCACATATAGCCACCGAGTTCCCTCGTCGATCGGTCTTATTCATTCCACACTTGTCGAACGGTACCCCCACAGCCATGGGCTGCAAGCGCAAGCACTCGTCCGACGACTCGTCACTCTCCATCTCCAGTTTCGGCGCTGTTTCCCCAAATAATCTGGATGCCTCGATGGACTTGGATGCCTGCCTACGATCTAATGGCTGGGACTTCATGAGTGCGGGTCGAGTCAAGAGCAGCGACTGGGGCAATCGAACATGTAAAAGAGTGCGCGACAACCGACCAGATGAGCGCGCAATACATGGTATGCCGCATCTCCTTCTTCCTATAACCACATTATACTAACCAGCTCTATTCAGAAAATACTCTAAACAAGCTCTTTTCTGCACAGCGCAACCATCGGGATATCATAGCCCCAACATCCCACTCCCTGTCAAGCCAGCAGTCTACCTTGGCCATCTCAAAACCGCAAAAGTCGACATTACACTCCTTCTGGAAAGAACTACCTGCGCCACCTGTCCAACCCATTTTCTCGATTCCCGTGCAACTTAATCAGAGTTCTTCACCGCTGGCTCGCTGTGACGACTGCGATACACCATTGCGGGGCGAACACGATAGTATGGATATTGACATGGATACAGACTTGGAAGGATCTGTTGAGGGTAGTTCATTTGCGTGCAATGACTGTGGGAGAAACGTTTGTGGTACATGTGCAGTTGTCTCAGCGACAAGACACTGCTTACAGTGCGCGACCACGGGAAACAATTCACGGCCGTAAAGATTAGAGCGTTTTATTTTTTTCTAGTTTATTTGGTTTGCAGCACTATTTGTATCACTAGCATCGTTGTATATGGGGCAATTGGCGGGAAAATTTATCCAGCGAGCTTATGCAGCAAGGCGTCCAGGGGTTGTTGTCAAGTAACATGGGACGAATTAAGCTTTCATTTGCATAATTAACTCAGAGTTACTAGTAAGGTGCACCATGGCTAAGCACTGTGACTGTAGGGGTTGGTGTGAGCTCGTTGTTTCATACAAGCCACAGATGCAATAGTTGCATGTCGGTAGGTAGGAGGGAGCAGCGGGTAGCAGTTTTCAGATCAAAATTACAATTCTTAATAGTTTTTCAATATTATTAATACACTACCATTGAAGTCAATGGATTCTATGAAGATGTTTGTGTTCGTGTGTTTGTGTGTTCGAAGATAACGCTGGACGAATGGTACATGATCAAAAAGGGGCAGCCTCAACCAAGCCGACACTACTTCTGTTCTATATCCCCGGTTGGCAGATCATCTTTTTCTTTCCTCTCTCCTCTCGCTATCTTCCTCTTTTCCTGCTGCCACAAGCACCATGTGCAGTACTCGCCCCAGACCTGCGCAGCTGTAAAGATCAAGTGTAGAATGGGAATCAAGACCTTCATAGTGACCGTCCACTTGTGGAACAGGGCACCATACAATCCGAATATGGTCCCTGTCTCAGCTAAAGTCCCAATAGACGAGCACCAGAAAGCTACGGAGAAGGATCGCAGCAGTTTCTCAGATGTAACATCGGGATCGCGGTAGATGATCATGGTGACGTGAGGAGGTACCTCGACACTGAGGTCAAAGAAGCCTGCATATCGTTAGTGTATGGCAAATGTGTCAAATTGCGTAGCACATACCCCAGAATAAAGCCAAGACAGCCTCCAAAGCTGCATCTGGTTGACGGTCGGTCTGTCCACTCCAGTACAGCGTCAACTGGCCCATGACAAGCACACCGACATGGTGTGCAACAGCGACAGGACTAATACCCTCTCGGTAAGACAGCTCATGCGCGTACATGACTGAAACAATCATGATTGCGAGATACAATGCATCGCCCATAGTGAAGACATTCTCTCGTCGCTTATGTCCAATGCCGGAACCGAACATGGGTGTGTGAAAGTCGCCTTTGCCAAGGGCGACGGCAAAGAAGGGGTAAATAGCAAAAGCTACGACGAAGATCTTGGCCGCGATGGACAGATGGTGGTTTACGAAGCCGCGCTTCTGGCGCGCGTTGAGTGTCGGCCATACGCGTTTGTAGATGAGCCCTCTGTCCAGGGCGTTTTCAAGGATGAACTGTCGACAGAAGAAAAAGATTGCGAGAAGCTGGAGTGAAAGACGTCAGGGGTTGTTCGCCAGGATTCCAACACAATGACTGATAGGTCACTCACGATTGCGAAGACGAGGCCAGAGTGTTTGATCATTGGCGATATAGGCACATTTTCGATGTTGGCGAACCCAGGGAGAGAGCCAGTGTGTCTCTCTTTGTCATCCAACGAAGTCTCCATGATGTAGTGAGAAAGATACCAACGATATTATTATGAAGAAGAAGGAGAAGAATAAGGAGAGGAAGAGGGCAGACAAGAAGATGGGACTGCACAGTTAAAAGGAAAGCAAGACTGAAACGAATGTGAGTTGGTGGGGTTCAGGAGAGGGCTACTGAACCCCAAGTATATGAAATTCTGGCTACAGAAGCTGCCCCCATAAATTACATCGGTCCCTTTTAGTCGTGGCCTCGGACTCTCTCCCATAAACGATAGCGTCTTGCTTTACGAAACACATACGCCGACTGCGCCCCTGTTGCAAACGCCAGGCCGCACTATCCAAGATGCCTGAAGCACCGACGCCACAGCACATGTTCACCCCTGTCAATCGTCGTCCAAATTTGCCTAAATAGCCTGTAAAAATGGTAGTGTAGTGGCTGAGACCATGTAAAGGAGTGGAGTTGCTTAACGTGCCGCTGACATGAACAACGTATGCAGCCACAAATGGCGCAGTCGCCGGCGCTATGTGATTGGCGGACCCCGGCACGAGACCGCGCAAGCCACATGTTGGTTGCGCTTTTGAGTCTGTGCGGTTTGACGAGTGCCCTAGCCACGCATCGCTAAAGCTTAACACAGACAAGATTTATTCAAAACCGCTTATTTGTTTTCAAATAGGGAGGGTCGTGCGGTCTCTCTGTGTCAGGTTCCACTGTTTCTTCGAAAAGCTGCGATGATCAATCCTCTTCTTTCGCTCGCAGACGTTGTGATGGGAGGTCGCTATTATCGTGGGGGTTGTAACTACTTGGCTAGCCTCACAGCTAGCAGCCGCGTGTACCAGGGGGCATCTGGCGTATAATTCATTTTTTGTTGCCCATTCGGCCTAGCTCCCGAATTTTCCAGGCCCCGAGTTGGCTTGTCGGAAACCCCTAATAGATCACCGGCATGGTGTCGTATAAGCGGTATTTCTACGGTATTTGACTACTTTGAGACATGCGTTTACGCGGCCTTTTAGCACTATACGCGATATTGCCCCGTGACCTATCAAATGGTCACAGAACGGTTTGGACTATGCTTTTTTCGGGAGGGGGAACAAGATGTTTTTGAACGGTGCCTTGGTGCCTTGGTGCCTTGTCAGGCATTAAACAATGTTGGTTACTTGGCTGAACCTATTGTTTACAACTGACGCGACGTTCTGCATGTAGGACAATATCAAACCGCTTCGAGACTCTCTTTTTTTCTTGGGAATAACGCAAGCTCGCTCTAGAAATGGTGCGATTTTTAATGGGTCGCCTTACCTAGCGGCATACACAGCCTTATCCACCTGCCTTTACAGCAACAACAGCACATGACCCTGACGATGAAAATTTGTTGTATCAGCATATGCAGACCGGGAAGTGGCCTGTTGTTCTTTTCAGAGGGATAATCAGCTAGTGCGCTAGACGCCAGCTAGATATAGGCCCGTGACTGTCATACTAATTACATTAAGGTTGTTTTTAACAGCGCAACGCAGACAAGCGCAAAAAGCTCTAACACGAATGTGCTACAAGTCTAGCTCATGACAAGAAGTAGCAAGCGAAAGATTCAATGTTTGTCTTGACACGTCTAACCGGTTGTCACAGTAGTTGTGGACAAGGTGGGTACACTCGGTTAGGATAGATCTGTTTACCTCCCAAAAATGAAGGGCTTCATCAAGGGGCCTAAGTAGAGGGTATGGGTACCAAAGTCTGTGCGAAGGTTTGACAAAACGACATGGGTGAGATAGGGGGGTGTTTGGGGATAGGCTATGATAAGATCTGCAAAGAACTTGGGCACGGTAAAGCAAGAGTGACAGATGTGAAAAATAGACCTGAACTCCAAGCCAAACGAGAATGATAAGTGGATACACTCAGTAGCTTCGAGGATTTACCTCAGTCAACTCTTGGATCAGCGCTGATGTTACTGTTCGAAGCTCTTTGTATCTGCGTTGACTCTGTACTTTCTCCACCACAACAACTGGTCAATTTACAAGCGAACAAGTTTTCCAGAAGATCAACTAGTATTCCCACGCTAATCTGGGATTCAGAACTGCGGAAACAGCCGCTTGGAACCGTAAAAAGAAGCCCACTTATTTAAAGCTTAGACAACCGCCTGCAGCCTTAACCGCTGTCAGTCTATGAAGGTAATGGTGGGAGTAAGAAACGTGTCAGGAGCGAACTAAGCAGCGGGTGTAGGGAACTCCTGGAGAAGCGCGTATATTCCATAGGTTGTCAGTTATGAGCTATATGTAGGGCCGCACAGCCATGGGTATAGTAGTACACAAATCGCACAATATATCGGGACGATGCCTCTTTGTTCTATTAATAGCTACTGCTGCAACGTATGATAGTTGCATAAATACTTTGAACTTACTGGTTCGATGGTGTTCCGCACTGCGTTCATGACGTGTTCTACTACTAGGCGTTTTCGATCTATCCGGAACGGATGAATAGAGACATCGAAACAATTGATAGCAAATCCCCAAAAAAGACTACGAGATTAGACTGCTATTACCATGAGATTGTACCAAGCAAGATTTTGGTAAAACAAAACTGCTATTTGTGCAATGTCACGCTTGAATTTGCGTGAGGAAGCATTACCGTTGCACTGCACGTAGTTTCTAAACCAGGAGTCCATCATAATCTCCCATCTTACTTGACATCTTTCCCCAATAACCTTCCTATAGAACAATAACGAATGGCCTAATACCAACACAAATAAACCTCACCAATATTGATACTATATCAGCCCCATTGCCTTCCTCGCAGCCGTAATTTGGTTGTCGTACCCAAGGGAGGTGTGCCTAATGGGGCATATACCCGTTAAGAGGTCTACATAAATTTAATAGTATCACTAAACGAGATTTTAAAAGTTCGAAAACAGAGTTTCACAGACGATCACCCTAACCCTTCTACTTCAACTGCAAAGTCTGTTTTTTTTTTCTTCCGATACCCGATTCCGGCAAGTTGGGAGTGTGGTCTACCATTGTTTTTGTGAAATGATTGATCTGATACACTAACATAGTAAATAGATATGAGAAAAAAAAAAGTTCAAGTCATATCAGCCCCAGTTCCTTGCCACCTTACTCGTCCTACTCCACCTTTCCCCATAAACGGAATTGCTCAGCTATTCACACCGTGAAGTCCAACATTCTTTTTTCCAACACAGATTCAAGTTTGCTAATTACCGTTTTGAGCAGCTCTACTTTCAGGACCCTGCTAGTCAAGCCAACACTCAAGTTCAGCCTCTAAGAAGAGGCCTGATAAAAGACGTATACAAACTACAACCGTTGTACATCATCGATAGGGAGAGATGGAAGGTGTAGTCTCAGCAATGTCGATGTACGGCGGCATATCATTGCGAACATTTTATATCTCGTAGAAAGAAGAAGGAAAATTTGGAATTACGATGGTGAAGCCGCCAATTTGTATGATTTGCCCCCCATAAAAAGAAGCGTTTGTATTGTTGACATGCAGTCGTAATTTCAGCTAGACATCAAGACTATGATCAGGAGCATTTTTCATGCTCGTTTGGAAAAACAAACAAACGCGAGAATATTGAATTTGTAGTACATAGTAGAAAAGGAGATTAGGTATTTTGTTTCTTGACATAGTCGAGTGAAGAAAGAGGAGAGAGTGTGGACCAAATACTGATAATCATAAGGCGGAGGAACTTCTCCCTCCCGTGTACACAAACACCCTCCCCCGTCAACCTCATAAAGAACAAGTAACACCTCAAGACCATCACATGAGAGCCTCAAGATACAGTAAAATGGCAGATTACACACATATATTCCCATTATCTACAAGAGATACTAACCACTTACTTTGATCAATAACCCTTCCACCCAACTCTATTACACACAAGAAAAATCGTAACGTCGTCATCCAAAAAAAGGTCCATGATATCTGAGCCAAAAAAAAAAAACAAGAAAAACACGAGGCAGAAAAATCTTTCTCTTAAAACTTCTTCGCCTCAGCAGTAGTGGTAGCAGCAGCAGCAGTACTCGCGTCATCACCGACTACAACAATAGCCGGGGCAACCGCCTCCTCGACATCTCTCTCCTCCTTGAGCTCCTTGTTGCGACGGAAGGTGAACAAACTCTTAACCTTGCTAGCTGCAGTGCAGCAAAAGCGGTA